GTGCTCTTTTAGATCGTTTAGAGTTTAGAAACATTGTTTAGAATATTACAAAGGTGTGGGAAGGGTTTAAAACTCCTTTATATTCATATATATATATATATATATATATATATATACTAAAATAAACTACTACTTGTACTACTATTCCTACGTTGCGATTTTTCACTTGGTACGAACCCCCCATGATAAACGAGGGACTACTGTATAATATTTGATCAAAATCAGATCACAGAGACTTCATGAGAGTCCCCGATAAACAATAGTTCATGTCAAACTTTATTCCTTACCAATCACAAAAAATAATAAAAATAAGTTAAAACATGTCATCTGGACAATTTGAAACACATCAATAAGGTGCTATTTATACAACAGACCTTGGTGGCAGGCCTCGGACAGACAGTCTTTCGGATGAAAGACGAAACGTTTCTTCCAAAAAGAAACTGTCCAGATGACACGACTAACCTCGTTTTAGGGCTGCACCGATTGCAGTTTTCTGGCCAATCACGATTTCTAAAAAGTCTGACCTGCCGATTCTGATTTTGTTTAATAAATTGACACTGTCAGGTGTTATAAGGTCCCAATGCACCTTCAACTTTCAGTCTTATTTAGTTGAAAAGCATACCCTTGAACAACATCCTAGAAACAATACAAACTTGCTTTAAGTGGCCATGAGGTAGTGCTCTGAAATATAAATGAGGTTCAGACAATTGTTATTAAAACTAAAAAAAAAACGGTTTCTCATGCAAGTATCTGCCAATTTCAGATTTATCTACCTGGATGATTGAACTTAAAAACCTTCTTTCCTTTCCAATCATTCACACCAAACAGGAAGAAGGTTTATATCTCTGTGGCTCTGTCTGTCTTGGTAGGAGTCCAGGCGTGAACCCATCTTTATACTAAAATGTAGGCTTGCTAACACTTCCACCTACTGAATTGAGATAAGCAAGCCCAGACTTTTAATTTATGGAAACAGCAGTGTCCGTGGCCCTCAGTCACAACATAGGCTTGAGCGCTGCCAATGTGCGAGGGCTGTTCATTATTGCCTGCAGCTTTAATTCTGATTTCTGTTAAGAAAAATCTGAGCGATTTAAAAGGATCTCTTAAAGTTGAAGCTGGAAGGCAACACATTTTGACAAAAAATAATTATGACTGTATGAAAACACTGTGCTTGAAAAGTACCTGTGTCCAGAAATAAATGGCCCAATCACAGCTAAGTATGCAAATAAGGTGTTCTGTTTGAGTTCAGGATCACGAGTGAGAACATTTGCTGCTCGTGAAATGATGTCAGCGGGGCGTGAAGCCGGTATGGTTCACTTTTAGATTGGGGTGTTATGAGTTTTAAAGAGGTCAACATGTTAAACCAACAGCAGATTCAAGTAAAAAGGATTTTCCTTCCTTCTGTTATTCTTTGTACTTTTCACATCCTTCTTCTTGACCACCATAATCCTATCATTTTTAATTCATCCTCTTTCTGTCCTCCCATCATTCCCTTCTCTTTGCATTCTCTGACCTTTGACACATCCTCGTTCTTGCCTCAGCGGTCTCGATCAAGCTGGAGAGGCTCGGCTGGCAGCCGTGAACACGAGTGTGTGCAGTGGGCAGCATGAAGTGAAGACAACAGTGTCCTGAGTTAATATATGCAGCTGCTGTGGCCGCAGCTCCCTCTCTGTGGCATCGCTGCTGCTGCAATCAACACCGACGGCTGCCCTCGCTACACGCTTCATTAGCAGTGGTCGGAAATCCTTTCTGGTCTCTTACTACTCGTTTCTGCAGCAGCTAATGATGTCCCAGTCCATCCATAAATTTGTCGCCGTGCGCAGCTTTGAGGAGTTTGACATGGCAGCGGGGTGCACAGGGGATGAAAGAGCTCAGAGGACAGACGGCTAAAAAGTAGCGGCAGGGGAGAGGGGACATTAGTCAGAGGGAGGAAGCAAATGAATTCTGCCTAAATGAATTTCCTGATGATTATCCTCTTGTTTGCATCTTCATCGCTGCCATTTCCCTCCTTTCTGACTCTTGTGATTTAAACCAAACACGAGAGTTCAGAAGAAATCCACAGGTTTAAATTTAGCAGAAACCCAAACTTCGGATTGTTTTTGCGTTGTTGTCGGATCTCTCGGAGCGCCTCGGTGACAGCAGCTCACATGACGCTCTGCTCCTGTTAATTATGCAGAAGCACAGTATTCCCTGCTGCAGCCCCGTCGCATGTGTTGCATTACTATTCACGAGACGTAAACCGAAGTGTGTCCCGCAGCCGAAGCGCCCCGCAGAAACCCGGGACCCGTGACGACGCATGAGAAAATGTCACGCCACTCGTTTTCACATCCCTCCACGCCCCTATCTGTCTATCCTCCTCTTCGACACGCTCTTCCCCTCGTCAGCTCGAACAGCCGCTACGCTTGAGGAGAGCAGCGGTGAATAAGGAGTTGTGAGAATTAGGGAGATGGCGCGCGACAGCTACGGGGCGCCCGATCCCTTTGACTTGTGCGTTTGGTTTTGAGAGAAGAGCGTGTGATCTTACTGAGGGTCTCCAGCGTAGCTGAGCTGAGCGGGCCGGATGCCGAAATGAACGATGATGGGGAAGGTGATGACGTCTGGATTGAACTGCTCCCTGTCCAGTTGGTCGATTCGCACGGAGCTGGGTTTCTAGACGGGGAGGGGAAAAAGAAAAGAGTCAATGTGGTGAAGATGCTACAGATAGTTAGCTAGGAGGCAGCCATCACTCAATCATCTACCAGCAGCGTAAAGATATAAATAATCCACACCACAAGGGTCATCTGTCACAGGAATGTAATTAGACAAGTCCCTGATTTTGCTTGTAGCACGAGAATGATAAAGTGATGTCAGGGACGGAGAGCCAACTTCTGACTCTCTTATCAGGGAGGAGATTGACAAGCAACACGTCCTCGGCTGGCTCCCAAATCACAGTGAGCCTGTCAGGCATTTTGTGAGATCACAGGAAGCGGCTGCAGCGTGAGGCGTGCTGATCAGTGCAGCAGATGGCTCCAGCTCACCTTGATATTCACTCATCGCCGCAGCCTGCGCTCAAAACTTTTGATGCGAGAGCAGGAGGTCACTGACCAACTTTCATTCTGCCTCTAAAGCAGCATAATCAGCTTTGACTGGTCTGACAGTGACAACACAAACTCTCTTGTAATTGTTCATTTAAACTTCGACGCTTCATTCGCTTTATCCACCAGAACCAATTAGAGGTTGACGACGTGTGAGCTCATGTATACACCAGTTCACTGTGGGAAATCATCACCCAAGTGTGCGACTGGAAAAAAAACCTTTAATTTACAGTAAAGATGTCGACAATGTGGCACAACGGGGGAAATGTTCCCGTAACCCGACACGCCTGAGCAGCAGGTTGAAAGAAAAATACCAGAGTCTGTGAGCAGAACTTTAACCTTCCCACATTCCTCCTCTGTGCCGTACACATCTGATGCAGATGTGCAACAAAAATGCAACAACCCAACTTTCTGCAGGCAGCATGAACAAAGCTAAACTTGGAGCATCTTAGGCGTAGAACAAAATCTTTATAAAGTTATTAACCACATTTTTCATGTGAAAACATCATAAAATAATTAATGTGCCAGGGCTTAATAAATATAACTATTCAAATTATGATGAATTTCAATAAAAAGAAACATTACCCAAAGTCAACTTGATATAAAACCATAATTTTCTTAAATTTTTGGTTAGAAAGTGAATTTCTAATGTTTTGATGTCACATGAACTTAAGCAAATTACAACAAGTGAATAAAGAGCAACATTTCAAGAACTTGAATGTTCTACAAGTACACAGTTTTTGTTTTTTGTATATATCAGGGTAGGACTGGACAATAATTCTATATTGATATATATCACGATATACTTTTATTCAGTAACGGTGATATAAGTTTTAAGAACATTTTTGATATTTCAGTATAAATTACGCTACGATTGCAGAGTTTCACTGACACGTTTCTTTTTCTGTTCGGGTCGAAGCAGCCCCGAACAGAAAAACCCGCGACACAACTACGTAAGTGCGTGGTGACGTGCACCACACACAGAGCTCGAGTCCAGAAGGCGGTAGCAGGCTAGGCTAACCTCCACCGCGCTGTAAGTTTTCACTTCAAAATGAGTTCCCATGACCGTCAGAATGTGACTGAACAAGCTTTCACAAGCAAAGAGAAAACAGATGACATCACTGATAAGAGAGGAAAGACTAATTTGGCTGTGTGGAAGTGGTTTGGCTATCTAAGATCCGATAAGCTGCAGGTTTCAGTCAGAATCCACATGTGTGGACAACCTGGCATCCACATGTGTGGACAACCTGGCATCCACATAAGTGGACAACCTGGCATCCACATAAGTGGACAACCTGGCATCCACATA